GGGTGGGTGGGGGGGCTCTCATTCTCATGCTGCTACAACGTGGGCCAGTGCGTGTGTGTGTGTGTGTGTGTGTGTTTATGCGTGCGTGCGTGTGTGTGTGTGTGTGTGTGTGTGTGTGTTGCCTCCCTTCTATCACTCTTGCCAATGCGTGGGGCACAGGCTCCTTCTCTCTTGCACTATCAAGGCCTAGTGCACGCCGAATTCAAATAGTGAAAAAAAAAAAACATAAGTATACAAAACTCACAAAAATGAATTTAACTTGGTAATCGGGCGTTAAAATGGGTTCTACGCGTAACTTTTGCTAATTTAGGGTCGCTGATCACGAAAATCTTATTATTTCTTAAATTTGGCCAATATTTAAGAAATTTTTGGAATGCATTTTTAACTCCGCCTAGGCCAACATCAACAACGAAGCCGCCTTATGCGCCGGATCAGTCCCGTCCTGGTGCGGTGTCTGTTTTGAAGCAAAAAACTCGACTGTGGGGTGGGACAGCCCTAGGCCTATCCCACGACAGGACTGTAATAGTGCGGTAGAGATTTAGATTCTTGCCTCGATTCTCGGAGTCTAGGCTAGGAACCAGGCAAAAAAAAAGGAGACGGGAGGCGTCGACCCTGGGCGGATTCGAAGCTTAAAGTCTGGGAACAAGATCGATTCTTTGAGTCCTCATTTGGACTCGAAAGAATCGATCCCAGAGTCGATCTTGCCCTGGCCTATTCATTGTATTTTGAAATTTTAGGGTAATTTGCTTTGATTTTCATACAATAAGGAAGAAATATTGAACAGCACAAGCTGAATTGACATTTTAGAGGGATTATCTCTGCACCACTAATTTGAACGGAGAGAATAAAAAATATATAAGTTACAACTACAGTGCAGAAGTGCTGCATTTGTGACAAACTGGGCAGCTCCCCAAAAATCGGGATCAACGACAAATCACCAGGGTGACTGTCAAGCTGACTTAAGATTTTTTCCACAGGTGTACATTATATCCACGTATATATATATATGCCCTTTGGTGTGTGTGTGTGTGTACGTGTGTACGTGCGCGTGTGTTTGTGTGCATGTGTGTTATTATTTTTCTTAATCCTGAACCCCCCCCCCCACCCCGCCAAACTCTTAGAACCCTACCAGACGATGGGAGCGTCCAGCGGTAATAACCATGTTCCCTATCGGATGCTGGGAGCGTCTAGTACTAGTGACAACTGTTTCGTTTTATTTAGTGCTAGTTCTTGCTTGTTTTTCAGAACTATTCTCGAACTATGTCTTTTAGTAATGACTAAGCTTTGTTTATGCTATTTAGAAGTTGGAGGCAACCTTTTGGGGTTATAATGAGACATAGTGCATCAGGTTTGGTGGCTGTAGGAAAAAACTCCGGGAAACGGTGGAAAAAACTCAGGGCTTAAAGAGTGTGTAGTTTGTGAGTGAGGTGATGCAAGACAGAGAGTTAGAAAGGATAAGGAAAGATTTGTTAGGAGAATTTTCTACAGAGTCCAATGCCATGTCAATGGCAGTGGCCTCCGCAGAGAAAATGGAGGCTTCAGGATGGAGTCTCCTCTGGTGTGTACTGTTGGAAAATAGGGCTGCGGTGCCCACATTATTGTCTTTTTTTAGCCATCCGTGAAGATGAGCTCAGCACCGGGAATTTATCTATTAGTTTTTTGTATTCTGCTTTAAAAGTTTTGGTGTTTGTGCTTTCTTTGTTGTGTGAGGTCAGCTGTAAGTCTACTTTCGCCTTGGTGAGATGCCACGGAGGGAGGTCAGGGAAAATAAATTGTTGGATGTTTTGTTTGGAAAAGTTAAAGTTTTTAAGATCTTCAAGGATTCTGAGGCCGAAGGGTTTGATGAGTTTTTCGTTGCTTTGGAATTTGTTTATGGTTTCTGTGTTTGTTTTAAAAATGCAGTTGTGCGCTGGATTTTCCGGTGTTGAAATCTGTTTAATTGCGTATTGTAGTGAGATTTGTGTGTGTCTGAGTGAGAGTGGTGGTATGTTTGCCTCGGCCTGGAGGCTCTCCACCGGCGAAGTGCGGAAAGCCCCCAGAGCGAGGCGGAGTCCTTGGTTTTGTACTGGGTCTAGCATTTTCGGGATGTGTGGTTTTGCCGATCCATAGACTTGACAGCCGCAGTCAAGCCAGGACCGGACAAGGAAGATGTACATGTGGAGAAGGTGTTTTGAGTCCCCGCCCAACTCCGGATGCGATAGAATCTTCAAAGCGTTTAACGCTTTCTGGCACCTCATACGATGGTATTTGATGTGTGGTAATATGAGTGTGAGTTTTTTGTCGGATATAACGCCGAGGCAGGAATCCTTTCCCCCGCATAGTGTCAAATCCGGTAGCAGCACACATCTGCCTGTTCGGCAGAAGTGTACTGCAACCGTCTTTGCAGGGGAGAACTTGAAACCGTTATTGTTAGCCCACTTTTCGAGTTTGTGCAGCTGCGCTTGCAGCTGCCTTTCCATAGATCTCAGATGAGGATTTTTCTAACTGCAGCATATCAAAAAGTCGTCAACGTATAACGAGCTGTCTATGCTGTTTTGGAGGGTTTTTACAATG